CTGGGTGGTCAGTCCTCAAGTTGCCCTCCCAGGAGCAGGAGTCAGGGATCATCTGGGTTAAAAACGAGGATAAATTGGAAAAAAAGGAGTGCTCATTAAAAACATAGGGTTCAGAGGTCATCAGTCAAAGGTTAGGGGGCAAAGATCCTTTCCCTTTGGTAACCAGAGAACAATACTGAGGGTGGCTTTGCAGATGAGACTGGAGAACTAACTCATCTCCTTCAGTTGCCCTTTGGGGCCAAGGGGTGAGGAAAGACAAGGACGAAGGGGTGGCTTCACCCAAGAGCCTCAGTGTCTGATCTCACGGGCATGTGCCCACCCATCTTGGGTGCGGCCTAGGCCTGGCGTGAGAGCTAAGGAGACAGCAAAGGAGAATCTTGGCAGTGAACTGGAGGTCAGGAAGGAGGTCAGGGCGAAAGAGGGGGCTACACCTCGCTGGCCTCCTCTCCCCCTCCCCCATGGCACCACAAGGCACGCAGCCGCATATCACCCGTGCCAGCCCTCACCTCCCGGCAATGTCGCCGCATTCTCAGCCACGCCATCTGGCATGCCCGCCGCTCCCCAGCACACTGAGGCTGGCGGGGGGAGGGGGCAGCGGGGCAGGTGCCCACCCCAGAGCCAGAGAGAAGTGGCAGGTCCCCCTCCCCCAAGGTCCTTTTGGACTTGAGGTGAGACGGGGGCTGGGGAAGGGGGTGGCAGGTGCTCTGAGGCTTCTGAGGAAGCTTTGAGGATCCTGAAAGGGTGGATCAGGCACCGTCTGGGCAGCGCCAGCCTGCCCCCTCCCCTTCTCTGCCCGCAGCCCAGCCAATGCCAGGAACACAGGCCCTCAGAGAACCCCCAAAGTCCTGCCCTTCCCCTCAAATCTGAGGTAGGGGTGGGAACAGGCTGCTCCCCCCTCCCACACTCCTGCTCTGTCTGATCTTTACCTGGCTCACCGCCCCTCAACCTGGGGAGGCCCAGGCTGGGGCTGAGAAGGCTTCCACCAGGACATGGACACCTGGGTTCTAATCGACCTGCTCCCCGCAGCTGGGTTCTCAGAGGGAGAGGTCAAATCTCCTTCCCCAGCACCCTTGCCTCACCAGTTTTAGGTATTGGGGGGAGTTGCTGGCTGGATGTCCTTCTGGGCGTCAGAGTTTAGTAGAACGTTTAAAGATTTATGTATGTGTGTTAGTGTATTTTGATGGAGTAGAGGGTTTTAGGAAAGAGAGTGATTTTATGGAATATTCATTCCGTCTCCTGAGCAACATCGCTCCAGACCACCCAGGAGTGACCCTTTCCCTCCCTACTCTCCTCCAGGCTCTCAGACCACCCCCCTTACCCTCTGCCCCCAACCAGGACCCGAGTATGCACAAAATGGCTGCCACCCCTCTGAGGCAGCCATTTTAGGTGCCCAGACTGTGGCCTCCCTTGGGATGGGGGTATATGTCTCCATGGGAACTTCAAGCCCCCTGCTGCCAGCTCCTTTGGTGGGGATAAGCAGCAGAAGTGGGGTCTTCCAGGCCTAGATGGAGTGCCCACCATTCTCCTTTTCTTTCCAGAGACCCAGAGGGGACCAGGCCCCTCACCAACTCCCTTCCCCCAATGCCAGGGGGAGGAACAGATGGCATCTCTGGGTGTCCTTCTTCTTCCGTCTCCTTTCTTCCATTTCTGGCTCTTTCTGTCTCTCTCTCACTGCATCTCTGCATCTCTGAGGGTACAGAGGGGAGCGTGTCTGTCCCTGCGTGTTCGGGCTTACTTGTGTGCGTGTGGACACGTGTGTGTGGTGCCTCCTTTGCCCATGTCTAAAGCAGGCCCACCCTACACCTCCCTCTGTTCCAATTTCCCCCTGGTTTTTATTATATCTTCTAAAAAAAAGTTGAAATGTGAGAAAAACTTGTTCCATTTTTCTGAAAGAAGAAAATACAGGAAATGAAGTTTCCCCTATCTTTAGGTATGTCCCCCCTCCCCACCTCAGACCTCCTTCTGACTGAGGGGGCCCCACAGACTCAGAGAACTAGTCATTCCTGAGAAGAGACAGGGAGGTATGGATGGACCTGTGAAGGGCTTGCCTGTTCTGAGGACGCTCTGCCTCCTGCCTGGAGCAGAGAGCGGAGTGGGCAGGGGTCAGTCTCTTGAGACCTTGTTCACTAGGAAAGGGCAGAGGTCACCTGATGCCCTTTCTCTCTCAAGGAAGTATCCATTCATTTAGTTCGACAAGAACCAAGTTCCTACATCAACAAAGCATTCTGAATGTGAGACAGGGGTGCAAGAAGTTAACGTTGTGTAAGTCAGCTACAAGCTGGTCCCAACTCAACAGTATAACAACAACAATTTATGTCTATCTATCCATCTATGTATCTACCCATTTATGAGAAGTCAATACTAAATATTTTTAATAAACCAAATGCTATTTCAGGATGGAATTCACACTGAGACACCAAGGCAATCAATCCTTAAGGGTTTACCAAATTCTTGCATTGTATTTGCTGGCCCCTCCCTCCAGAGTCAAGGGAAGGTTTTCAATAAAAAGAGCTTGGCTTCATTTGCAAAAAAAAAAAGTTAACGTTGTAAAGGACATTAAATACAGTGTTTAAATAAAAATCAGAACTGGTATTTATCAAAGGTCCTGGTGCTAAGCTCATCCTATTCATTATTCTATGTAACACTAGCAAGTTGTAGGAAGGCATAGTATCATTGCTCCCATTTTGCAGATGGAGAAATACTGAGAGATATTATGTACTTGTCCAAGCCATTTAGCATTAAAAAGAAATTAACAACACCCCAAACCAAAATACTGGGATGTGGGATTGGCCAGGGATCAGAACTTCAAAGCACATACATGTGACCAGAATACCATATGACCAGAGGACTTGAGGAGAAGGACCATTTGTCAGGATTTAGGACCTCATCCTGGAGCCAAAAGGATAGCCTTTGAGGCTTTGCCCAGAATAAGTCCCCGCCCCACCTGAGGTGCCTGTTGTGCACAGAACCCCCCAGACCATCTGCTATAAATGGGACTTTCAGCTCCAGGATCCATGAAAGGTGGGGAAAAGCACCATCAGCAGAGGGTAGGGTGGTAGCAGGAGTCCTAGGCTGGAAGCTTCCTAGTACCTGGGTTCTGGTCCCAGCTCTGCTCTTCACTGGTCAGTTAGTTCCTGGCAAGACACTCTCACCCTACGAGTCTCTGGGAAAGAGAAACTCAGACTGTGTGACTCCTTTCAGCTCCTGGCCGTGTGCCTCTGAGATCCCTAGACAGTGCCAGACTCACCTTCTCCAAGGCCTCCTTAGCCATCACTATACTGTTATTTAGATCCCCCTACCAGGCCTCAAATCAGCATCTTTACCCAGTAACCCCTGTAACGCCTCCTCTGGAAACCAAAGGGAGAGAACTGCATCCCCCCAGATAGAGGATCAAGTCTCTGTCTTGCTCCAGTTTGCATCACTCCAGTACTTGGCACAGTGGTTGGCACTCAAAATATGTTCATTAAAAATATATTAAAAAAAAAGAAAAAAAAATATAACTGAAGTTGTATGTCCATGGCTGTCCATGTGTCCACTGGAGGGTGGGGCAGGGCAGAAAATGGCCAATGCCTGAACTGAGGTCTGGGCAGGGGTCTCTCGGCACCTGCCTGTGATTACCTGCTCACACATATGTGTCTCTCTCTGAGGAGGGGTGTATATCCATTTTCTGCACCACAGGGTAAGGAACAGGTGTGTGTGTGTGTGTGTGTGTGTGTGTGTGTGTGTCCTCACTTCAACCCCCGTTGTATTTGCATCTGTGTCTGGCCCAGTGAGAGGGTGGAAAGGTGAGTTGTGAGATAAGACAGCAATTTCCTACCTTCCTATGGAGACATCTGTCTGACCCAGCTCCCCTTGGTCAATCGGGACTGCTGGCCTTGGCTTCAGGATTGTCAGTAATTTGGGATGAGGAGAGGAAAATGCTTCAATCTCACCTGGGAACTTCAGGTATGCCCTTTCTCCTATGCTGCCTCAAATTGTCAAGCCAGAAGGTCAGGACAGGGAGCCAACAGTGGAATGGTCACCTGTCACGGGGGAAGGGGTAATCGAGAGGTTTCTGCAGCAAGGAATCCAGGTAGAGACTCGTCCTCTCCTCTAGGTGGTGGAGGATAGGTTCCTGGAGGGGGGACTCTTCTTGACCCCAACACACATATGTCCACAAACACCCCAGGAAAGAGCTTCCCATCAGGTGGGATCCAGATACACACACGTCCCCGCAGACACACACACACACACAGACACACACACACGCCCATGCAGAGGCACAGACATCCAGGCAAACCTTTTCCTTTCTCTGTCTTTCCCTTGGTTTGAATTTCGTTCAGTCACATATGTTGTGTGTGTGTGTGAGAGCTAGCGAGAGCGAGAGGGTGGGTGGGGGAGGGGCAGACAGGGATGAGGGATGGCATGGTGCCAACATCTACCTATGGGGCCTGGGCCAGGGACACCCCCAAACCCGCCCTCAGAGGGGGCCTCAGCTGTCCCTTTGTGGCCAAGGGGATTCTACTGGGGGGGGGGCAGGGGTAAGACAGACAGAGGCAAGTATATAAAGCATATATAGGTCCCATCTCTGCACCCCAGGGGGCTGGTCGCTGACCCACCTTGGAATCCTGCAAGAGAGAAAGTGGACAGAGCAGGACCCCAGAGGGAGCATAGACTTTGGGGCCACCACAAGCCCCCAAGTTTCAGCATTGCCCCCTCATTGTTCCCACGTTGGGGGGGTTCTGTAGTCGAGGGGGGACAACTCCTCCAGTCCCCTCTCAATCCCTGCTCTCCCTGCGCTGGGCGGGGAGGGGAGGACGGCAGAGATATTTATTTATTTCCTTTATTTATTTATTTTTTTTTTTTTTTGGAGTAGAGAGTGACAGATGGCGGCGGGTCCCGGGGGAGCCGGCTCTCCCCCAATGCAGACGCATGCCAATCACCGTCTCTCATGTGATAGCTGCTGCCCGTGACGTGCCAAGCCCATATGGCCTGGCATAGAGGCTGGTACCCCGCCTGGTAGAGATGCCACACTCGCTCCGCGGTTCGCATGGCGCTCTGAAGACGCCGGCGCCCGCCGCCTTGAGGAGCCGCTGCCCCCGCTGCCTGAAGATGGGGGAACAATGAAATAAGCGAGAAGACTCTTCTTCTCCCCCCTCTCTCTCGCCCCCTCCCCCCTCCCCTCCCCTCTCCCCTTGACTCCTCTCCGAGGTGAGTTGTCCGAGAGGGAGCTAGAACCCCATCCGCCGGCCTTGGGGGGGTGGGCGGCTGCGGTCGACCCGAGGAGGTCCAGATCCCCCTTTCCTGGGACGGTGCCCCCGTCATGGGTGGGCTTCAGAGGCGCCCCGGGTTCCCTCTCCCCCTGGGGCTGCAGCTCAGGGGGCTGCGGAGGGAAGCGTCTCTTGCAGCGATGGTCTTGGGGAAAAGGCATGAGGAGGGGTGCAAAGAGACTGGGATGGAGACACCCCCCCACTCCAATGCTCACCCTGGAGGAAGCGAGCTGCGACCTTTCCAAACCACCAAAAAAAAAAAAAAGAGAAAGAAAAAAAGGGAGCAAACAAACAAATTTGGATTCTACACCCCCCCCACCTCCCCATAAATCCAGAAATGCAACGAGATCCGAGGAGCCGTGTGGGAGGGAGGCAGTTTGCAAGGGAGAAGGGGGTCCCTGACCGCAGGGGAGACGGGCGCCGCTCGATCCTCGCGGGGTCCTCCCCACGCCTGGTGCCCAGCCCTCGCCGCCCGGAGCCGGCTCCCGGAGCTGAGGACGCCGAGGCCAGAGGAGCAGAACCTTCTGTCTCTGGAATTGGGGCTGCGGGGGTGGGGGCCGAGTCGGGGGCGGCGCGCGGCCAAGTTGCAAATTGGATTAGGGAGCGTGGGGGTGAGCGCCACCGGAGGGGTGGGGAACCCGGCCGAGGGGCCGGGCGGCGAGAGCGCGGAGCCGGGCAGCTGTCCCCACCCGCGGCCGCCCAGCCTCCCTGCACAGCCTGGGAGTCCAGGCTGGCGAGGAGAGCGCGCCACCCTTGCCGGCGAAGACACCCGGCCTCTAGCCCCCTCCCCCGGCCCCTCTCTGACCCTGAGCACAGCCGGGCCAGGGGAGCGATCCTCTATCCAAGCGAGGGCGGAGCCGGGCCCCAGCACCGGTAGAGGGCCTGGACCGGGACCTCAGGCGGGCGGACAGCCCCAGCTGGGCTGGGCCGCCTCTGGGCGGGGCAGGCGGAGGAGGTGGGCATCTGGGAACCAGCAAGGGACCCGGGTGGCGGCGGGTTGGGGGGTCGTCGTGACCCCAGCGCTCCCCTCACTCTGTGCTGTCTGTCTCCCCCTTCTCGCCCATGGGGCGCCCTCAGGCACCATGCTGACCCGCCTGTTCAGCGAGCCCGGCCTCCTCTCGGACGTGCCCAAGTTCGCCAGCTGGGGCGACGCCGACGACGACGAGCCAAGGAGCGACAAGGGCGACGCGCCGCCTCCGCCTCCACCTGCGCCGGGGCCGGGGGCTCCAGGACCCGCCCGGGCTGCCAAGCCGCTCCCTCTTCGTGGAGACGAGGTGCCCGAGGCCGCACTGGCTGAGGTCAAGGAGGAAGGCGAACTGGGGGGCGAGGAGGAGGAGGAAGAGGAGGAGGAGGAAGGGCTAGACGAGGCGGAAGGAGAGCGGCCCAAGAAGCGCGGGCCCAAGAAGCGAAAGATGACCAAGGCGCGCCTGGAGCGCTCCAAGCTGCGGCGGCAGAAGGCGAACGCGCGGGAGCGCAACCGCATGCACGACCTGAACGCTGCGCTGGACAACCTGCGCAAGGTGGTGCCCTGCTACTCCAAGACCCAGAAGCTGTCCAAGATCGAGACGCTGCGCCTGGCCAAAAACTACATCTGGGCGCTGTCAGAGATCCTGCGCTCGGGCAAGAGGCCCGACCTGGTGTCCTACGTGCAGACGCTGTGCAAAGGTCTGTCGCAGCCCACCACCAACCTGGTGGCCGGCTGCCTGCAGCTCAACTCGCGCAACTTCCTCACGGAACAGGGTGCCGACGGCGCGGGCCGCTTCCACGGCTCTGGGGGCCCGTTCGCCATGCACCCCTACCCGTACCCGTGCTCGCGCCTGGCGGGTGCACAGTGCCAGGCGGCCGGCGGCCTGGGCGGCGGCGCCGCGCACGCCCTGCGGACCCACGGCTACTGCGCCGCCTACGAGACGCTGTACGCAGCGGCGGGCGGCGGGGGCGCGAGCCCGGACTACAACAGCTCGGAGTACGAGGGCCCGCTCAGCCCGCCGCTCTGCCTCAACGGCAACTTCTCGCTCAAGCAGGACTCGTCGCCCGACCACGAGAAGAGCTACCACTACTCTATGCACTACTCGGCGCTGCCCGGCTCACGGCCCACGGGCCATGGGCTGGTCTTCGGCTCGTCGGCGGTGCGCGGGGCCGTCCACTCGGAGAATCTCTTGTCTTACGATATGCTCCTTCACCACGACCGGGGCCCCATGTACGAGGAGCTCAACGCGTTTTTCCATAACTGAGACCGCGCCGGTCCTCTTCTTTTTCTTTTGCCTTTGCCCGCTCCCTTGCCATCAGCCCTCCGAGCGCAGGGACACCCTTACCCACCCGGGAGCCGGGCGCGGGGCGCGCACCGCCGGTCCTGCCGCTTTCCTGGGCTGCGCGGTCCTCTTACCTGTGGGTGGCCCGTCCCAGGGGCCTCATTTCCCCCAGGGGACTTGCCTTCTCTCTCCCTAAGGGGTTCCCTCCTCCTTTCTTCCTGGGAGTGCTTCTCCAGGGACCCCTCTCCGGGTGCTCCCAGGAGACCCTCCGCCCAATCCCAGCCCTTCCGCTTAGGTTTCCCCCCTCCCCCTCCCCCTTGCAGGCCCAAAGGCGTTGGTAAGGGGATGGCTGAGCTGTGGGATGCGATTTTCCCCATCTCATCCTTATTATTTTTTTAAAAACAGACACCGAGCTGCCGAGGCAGGAAGGAGCCGACCCCCCCTCCTCTTTTTTGAAGAGGGCAAAAGTGAGGGCACCCCAGCCCAGGCCTGGCGCGCGCCTCCACCCCCACTCCCGAGTCTCAGTATTTTTGAGGTTTTCATTTTTGGCGGGAGGGGATGTGGATTGAGAGGAAAGTGAGAGGCCAAGACAATTTGTAACTAGGATCTGTTTTTCCCCTTCCTCTTTTTTAAACAAACAAACAAACGTATATTTAAAAAAAAAAAAATGCTGAGAGGCGACAGAGGCCGAACGCAGAGTCCGGATCGGAGAGAAAATGCAGTAAGAACTTTTAGAAGCAATAAAAGGCAAAAAAAAAAAATACTACTACCAATAATAAAAAAGACACAAATATCTATGCAAGGAGGTTCCGAGGAACCTAGCGGCCCGGCCCGGCCCCGGGAAGCCCCTCCTGGCCCGCGGGCCGCGCCGCCCCAGCGCGAATCTGTGCACTTTGGTGAAGTGGGGGCCGGCGCCGCCCCCTCCCCCTCCCCAGGTTCTTACAATCAGTGACTCGGAGATTTGGGGCCCCAGTGCCACTGCCCTCCCCCACCCCGTTCCCGTTGTGCGTCATGCTGTTTTTTTTAAAAAAAAAACCTGTTTCCAAATTTGTATGGAATGGCAAATTGTTGGGGGGTCGGTTTGGGGAGGGAGGGTTTGCATGAGACACACACACACACACACACACGCACACAAACACGCACACACACGCACGCGCGCACACACGCACAGCACACCACACAGCACGCAGGCCCAGCGCGCACCCCTCCAGTTGGAGGAGAGGGGTTCCTTTCCTCTAATGTCATCCTGGAGCGCAGACCTTCCAGCAGGCCTCTCCCAGCTCTGGGACTGTGCTGGGGAGGGCGCCGGCCCCACGCGATTTCTGGGGGACTGCAGACAGGTTCTTGACCCTGGTGTTCCTCCTGGCTCTGGCCAGCTGGCCGCCAGGGAGAGGGCTGAGAATTCCTTCTAGAAGTTTGCCCCAAAAAGGCAAAAGGAGAACCTCCTCCCCATTGGAGGCAAGGAGACAGGCATTCAAACAGCCCCCACAAAAATGCAAACCCGCAGGCGACACACACACACACACACACACACACACACACACACACACTCACACGCAATTTTACCTTCCTCTTGTAGCGAAGCTGAAACTCCCGTCGGACACCCGAAGTGCATTGCGTGTTTCTGTTCAGTTTAATGACGATTAATAAATATTTATGTAAATGAGATGCAAAGCCGGACCCGGTTTCTCACAGGTGGCCTCATTTCTTTGGGGGGAAAGTGGCCATGGGCTCATGTTGGAGGCCAAGTGTCGAGTGATTTTACCTACCGAGGGGACCAGACGTTCCTGGGTGGGATACTCGCCCCACAAGCCCCTTCATATCCGTCCACTGGGTACAGAAACCGCTACTCTCGCTGCCTTCTCGGTGCAGACAAGGACTCACGCACGCCCCCAGCACAAAGCGTTGCGCTGCTCCCCTTACAGCCTTCAGACCCCAAGCACCATCACGCGCTTCCTTTGAAAACAAAGTATCTTTCACTACCGGAAAATGATCAATTTGGCAACAGCCAGTCATCTTATAACCCTCTGCCCACTGTTGCAAAAAGCAAATGTGTGGAGATTAAAAAAAAATAGCCATTTGAATCTGATAGGAGTATTTTTAAATTTAAAAAAAATTTGTAAGGTAACAAGGTTGAAAAAATAAAGAGAGGAGAAAGCCTTTTCTGTCTTAAATTTGTGGAATCGGTGGACTCTGGGGAATTGACTTTTTCAGTCTCAAGAATGTTGGAATATTCTGTGTTGAGGAGGTTAGGAAGACATGCTCCAGCTCTGCAAAGTGAGGAATCCAGATACCTACCCCAGAGCGTGAAACCAAACCCAGAAATTAGCTTCTAGGAGCAGCAGGAGCCCCAATCGATCAACACCTCAGTTTTCTGTGCTTGGTGCAGCTTCAGAAAGGGACACACACACACACACACACACACACACACACCCCCTCAGTTTTCTGTGCTTGGTGCAGCTTCAGAAAGGGAGACACACACACACACACACACACACACACACACACACACACACCC